GACAAGTGGCTGGAGAGCGGCACTTGTGAAAGGGACCTCGGGGTGCTGGTCAGCTGCAGGCTAAACATGAGTCAGCAGTGGGATGCGGTGGTCAAGAGGGCGAACGCCACCCTTGGTTGCATAGCCAGAAGTGTGGCTTCTAGATCAAGGGAGGTATTACTACCACTCTATATGACTCTGGTGTGCCCACAACTGGAGTATTGTGTTCAGTTTTGGGCCCCTCATTAAAGAAAGGATATAGCCAGGTTGGAGTCAGTGCAGCGTAGGGCCACAAGGTTGGTGGCCGGTTTGCAGGGGATGGGGTATGAGGCGAGGCTGAGGGAATTGGGTCTCTTCAGCCTGGAGAAGAGGAGACTCAGAGGGGATCTGTTGGCGACATACAGGATTGTGAGGGGAAGTCACACACAGGTGGGTAGAGACCTGTTCTCCCCTGCAGAGGAAGGCAGGATGCGCTCCAGCAGAGCAAAGCTCAGGGAACCAAGATTCAATTTGGATGCCAGGAAGTGCTTCCTGACAGTTAGGACCCCGAGGGTATGGAATGGGCTTCCACGGGAGATGGTTGAGGCCCCATCGGTGAGGGTGTTCAAAGATTGGCTGGATATCCACATGGTGGGCATGTCATGAGTGGAGCCAGCTGGAGCCGGGGGTCAGACTAGATGGCCCGGGAGGCCCCTTCTGACTCGCTCTCATTCTATGTTTCTATGTTTTACTGCTATCCCAGTGGATACACTTTCTTTGGGTTCTTTTAATTCGAAAAGTGGTTCTGCTTAACACTTTGCCATTTGCCTTTGTTTTAGCCAGTTGTGTCACATTTACTGCTTAGCTCCTGAAGGGTGGGGAGCACAGCAGGTTGCATGCGTCTTTCACAAAGATTCACGTCCCAGAGTCAGTTTCTACAATTACCATGTAAAAGGATCCCACATATGACAGCTGGAAAAGACTCTCACCAGAAACCCTGATCTGCCAGCTAGGGCAGAGCATACTGGAGTACGTAGACCAGCTGCCTGAGCTGCTTCAGGGTTGTGCCACATGGGTCATATGGGAGTCCACTGCCTTTTTTCCTAATCCAGTTTCTTGTTTTCTTCTTTAGGAATACTAATTCTCATTTCAATACAGCCTGACTGATTTTTGCAGAACAATTTTTCCCACTGGTCTGCACATTTATGATCTTTCCCACTCATTCTTGAAACAAGCTGGTACATTCCCATTTTACAGATGGCAAGCCAAGGCGATTGGCAACCCAAGCCAGCCATGAATCACGGCAGAGCAAGTATCTGAGTGTACCTATTCCATATCAGACCTCTGTAATCTGCATTGTCCTTTCTGTCCACCATCAGATAAAATTATCATTGCAAAAAGTATTAAACATTTCATTGGCAGCGTTTCCTTTCTTGTGTAACATGGTGAATTTATAGAACATTGGGGAAAACAACAGCAAATGAATAAGTGTCAGCAAGATGCAATGTGTTTGAAAAAAATAATATTAAAATAAGATATGTACTATTATCAGTTTATCCCTCCTAATTAGTAAAAATGCATGCATATTTGACTTGCTATCAACTACAATCTCTCCTGCCAATGCTTTCTACAAACAGCCTTGACCTGATATTCTTTTCTAACTCTTTATGCTTAGATGGGCTAATAATAGCAGTCTGGTGTGTAAGAACTGAATGAATGTCATTCCTATCAATATGTCCTAGAGACTTATTCTGTTCAGAAAGGACATTGGCAGCAGTGGAAACATCCAGAGTCCCTGAAGCTTTATTTCCAAGGATCTGTGGATGTAAATGTGTTTTGCATTTTCCCTTGCCTATTTTTAAAGACAACAGTAGACTATTAAAAAAGCATTATATAGCTTCAGAATGGACAATAGGAAGGGAGGCTGATGCTTCTGATGCTTCTGAGTTGCCTGGCATCCCTGACAAAACATAGATACTCAAACTAATTTGCTGTGATAGACTACACTACTGTATATAGTCATGATGCCTTTATAAATCAAATGTCAATAGAGACCCAGTGTGACACAATGGTTAGAGCGTGTTGGACTGGGACTTGGGAGATGTGAGTTCTAGTCCTCAGTAGTCCTGAAGCTCCCTGGCTGATTTGGAGCTAGTCTCTGATGCTCAGCCTGATCTACCTCACAGGGTTGCTGTTGTGACAATAAAATGGCCAGGAAGAGGATTATGCAAGTCACTTTGTGCAGGAAAAAAGGCAGGTACAAATATAAGGAACGAATCCATCAAACAATAGTAGTTCTTTTGACTGGCTGCCAAACAGTGCTGCCTGTTTTGAAGTCCGTGTGAGTCCCCTCACGCCCACCTTATTCCTGTTTTCTTTGTTTGATACAAGACTTTCCCTCTAGTCTTTGGCAAATACATCCTGTAGGTCAAGTCTGCGCTTTGCCTGGAGAGGAACATTTCTTCATGCTGTAATAGAAAGCTACGGCTGATTCAGAAATATAAAACCATCTGGTTGAAAACATGTTCTCCTGGTGAAGCCTTGGCAACATTGATTTTACTTTACCATCCTAGGGTTCTTATCCCACAAGCATGTTGATGAATCCCTACTGAACCTACTTCAACTCAGTACCCTTCAGGGGTTTTCGACTTCACCTCCCAGCTTTTTTGTCCATTGATGGTGATGGGAGTTGAAGTCTAAAACATTGAGAAGGCCCCAGACTGGGAAAACTGCCCTACTGATTCCAGAGGAAACATTCCAGAGCAGAAATTTTCAGGTGTATGACCTTCATTTGCATATCAGCATTTGTAACAGTAGGCAGGAGAATCTGCAACCGTTCTTAAACACAGAAATCTGTTCGCCTCTCCCTCAGAATTATGGGAATGCAAGCTTAGCAATTCAAAACTGAAATCTACTGTACTGTAAACAATCCAAACTTCGGTTTAATTGTACGATGCACCACTCTACTCTGGAAGAAGACTTTATAGCATAGCCCACGGCTACTAAACTAGTGGGAGTTTTGCCATTGACTTCCACAAGACGCAGATCCAGTCTTTAAGCTGCAGTCTCACAATGATTCCAAGACATCCCATTCAACTTATTTGCAAATAAACATTTTTAAGATTTGGATGTTCAATTGAACTGAACTCAGAGATCTCCTGTAGCTAAAATCCCTGCTTTCCTGAGAGCTCATTGGATGACCTTGGGGAAATTGTTTACTGCCTCTAAGACTTAGTTTCTCAACTGTAAAGCTTGGTTCTGCTTCACAGGGTTGTTTGCCAGGGCAGATGGATAGCAGTGCTAATGCACTCCACATATTAAACCTGCTAAATGATAAGTAGAAAATATATTGACTAGGTGATAAAGGATAAGAGTTATTGGATTTATGACAGATCTTTTAAAATGTAATTTGTTCAGATGGCTGGGGTGGAAGCAAAATATTAGGCACACGAGCAGTGCCTTCTCAGCAACCTTGGCTGCTTTCTTATTTCTTATTTTTTAAAATTTGGATGTTCAGCAGGACAAACAAACATTGACACCAAACATGGGTTCTGCAGGCACCACCGACCTGTCCCCAAAGAACTGGGCAGAGCCCATCTGGGGTGCTGTTCCCAGTGTGTCACGAGAGAAAGAAATAGGGGCAACAGCGAGAGAAGGAAAGTGAGTTGAACTTAGCATGCAGCTTGTTGTACTAGTGCTAGAGATCAAATGCTGCACTGAGAGGGCTTGCGGCCGGGGCTCCTCCGGCAGGGACACCGAGGCTTTGATGCAATAATTGGTTCTCACAGCGGGCGTGAGCACGGCAGGCAACTGGGCCAGCATAACCTTTGCTCGGAGCTCCCGGAGAGACAGCAGCTCGGCGGCTCCACTCAGGCAGCCACAACACCAGTCACCTTGGAAGTGAGGGACTCAAAGGGAAGGCAGGGTGGGGGGTGAAGGAGCCCTTCGGGACGACTCTTGTTCTCGGCTCGTGACACGCCGACTTTGTTTCAAGATGCCAGCCCCCTCTGGCCTTCACTGCAGTTACATAAGGCAGGGGGGAAAGCAGCCAAGAGAGGATATTATGGATCATCACCTGACTAGAGAAAGGGACTGTTGCCCATCTGACAACATTATCCCTGGCCAGGCGACCGTGCAGCAGGAGGGATGCGGATCCGCCTGGCTTCTCACTGGCCTCCTCCTTAAATGTTGGGAATTCCTGCCAGGTTCCTCATATTCTGCCCTGAGCAGCCCCACTGTCCTCGCCCGTGAGCCTGGGCTGAGGCGAGGCCTCTTGGGGAGCCCCTTGCCTCTCCCTCACGCCCTTCCCACTGCCCCTGCTGCAGATTCCTGCTGCAGGCAACTCGCGGACCACACTCGGCCGGCCGCTCCTGTCTTTGTAGTGTCATTGGCAGGCAGCTGGACTCGGACCAAAGAGGTTCAGGCTCAAAACCTCACTTGGCCACAGGGCCACAGAGCGGGGCAGCCTCTCAGGCAGCCCATGGCTGGCGAGTAAACCTACAAAGAAGACCACCCTACGCCCGGGCGTGTGTGTGAGAAGCTCTCCCTGAGGTGCTGAAGTAACTTGGCCAGCTTCGGCTCCCCTGCACCCCATCAGGCTGCCCGATGCCTTGGGCCAGCCCTGCTCAGCCCTCTCTGCCCTCCTCCCCGACAGAGTTCACCCTTGCTGGGCTTCAGGGACTAATAACAACCTCCCCCGAGGGTTTGCTGCCAGGAGGGACGATGATATCATTGCCGCACGTGCACTTTCCAGAAGGGGTGCCTGGCAGTGGCGCTCGGGAGGACGAACTTGCCTGGGGAGGGGCCCTGCCTGGCCCTGCCGGCCGGAGAGCTCCGCGGTCCTGGGGCCAGCCTACGCCAAACTTTCGGCGGCAAGAGAGCACCTGCACCTGGAGGGCACACTCGGCACCTTCTCGCTTCCTTCTTGCTGGCTATATTACCGAGACCGTGCCCACTATCATCCTGCCGCCACTGCTGCTGCTGCTGCTCTTTGCAGCAGGTCTGGCTCACGCTATTGTTCTCCACCCCAGCCCGGCCGTTACCTTCTGCTGCCTCCTGGCCATGTCCGTGGGCTGCTTGGCATTGAAGGGGTAGGCGATGCACCTCATGACGAAGACGTAGAGCTGCAGCTTCTTCTTCCTTTCCTCTTCCTCCTTCTGCAGCCTCTCCAGCTCTTCCTTCTCCTTCTCGCTCACCACCGACGGGCTGGGGCTGGAAGGCCGGACGCTGCTGGCGCTCCGGCTGCTGGGCTGCAGCCCTCCGCCACTCGCCCCGCCGCTGCCTCCCCCGCCGCCCGAGCTCTCGCTGGTCCGGCTGGGAGAGAGCCGCGCTCCCGAGGCCGCCGGGGCCAGCACTTCCTTGCTGCTCTCCTCTTCCACGATCTCATCGGACTCTTCCTCGCTGGACGACGGGTCCAACATGTTGCCGGCGAAGCCTCCTTCGCGGGCAGCGCCAAGGGGCACGCGGCAGAAGGATCACCGGCAGGCGGGCGGCCGGGCAGGGAGGCAGCGGCGGCACAAAGCCTCGCTGTACTTCCAAGATGCCCTCCTCCTCCTCTCCTCTCCTCCTCCTCCTGCCCTCACAAGCACATCCGCCTCGTCTGCCGAAAGGTGCCCGACAGACCCACCGAGCGACCGGGCGAGCCTCCGCCGCTTCCACAACTGGAGCTGAACGAGCGCTTCCGAACCAGCCAGCCGGACCCGGGGAGGAGACGAGCAGGAGCGAGGCTGCCCGACAATAAGGCAAGCTGTCGATGCCGCGGAGAAGCCGAGCAGGCGCCGCCGCCGCCGCCGCCGCCGCCGCCGCCTTCCCAATCGGAGCGAGAGCGCCCGAGCGCTTACGTGGGTTGCTGCCTTTAACGCTTGCCTGCCCGGGGCTGCGGCTGCCGCTGTGCACACACGCAGCGCGCGAGCGGGAGGGGAGCGCCGGGTTCAAAGCGGCGGCGGCTGCTGCTGCTGTGGCTGCTGGGCGAGCGAGCCCGCTCCTCCTCCGGAGAGGCCGCCCGTGCCCCTCCTGCGGTCGATCAGTTAATCTGGGGAGGCAGATGGTGGACTCCGCCGCGCCAGCGCTGGCGCTGCCCGCCTCCCGCTCCGCTCCCTGCCAGCCAATGAAGCCGCAGGGCCGGAGGAGCTGGCCAAGGTGCTGGATGGGAGCAGCCAACTTGCCGCTGCACGGAGAGCGCCCGGCGCAGCGGCAGTGCCCACCCCGTCTGCGCAAGCTCAGTGCGCCCTTCTCCTCCCCAGCACCCCACCCGCACGCAAGCACCGCACATGACCGTTTCGGAGAGTGAAGCCCCCCCGCCCGCTGCCAGAAGCATCTGCCCTTACCCAGAGCCGCCTTTCGCGGTTCCCCCGCCGCGCCCCCTTTCCTATTAATCTGCGCGGAGTTTTGGCTTAATTGGCCGTGACCTGTCTCGCCTGCGTGCTCGCGAATCACGGGGCGGGCACGGAGAGGGGGAGCGACTTCGCAAAGAGATCCTTGAGAAGGAGGCGAAGCTCCGCTCTGGGGAACGATTGCGACGCTTGGGGCTTTTTCAGTTTAGGAGAAAGGGCGAGTAAGGCGGTGGGCGCGAGACAGGTGTGCAGAATTACGCAGGACAGGGAGAAAGTGGAGAGGGATCCGAATTTGCTCCCTCTTTCATCGAATGCCCGTGAATAGTGGGAGATTAAGGACAGATGGAGAGGAATCCTCCTTCACACGTGGCACAGCTGAAGCATGGGGATCACTTCTAGGAGATGTAGCTATGGTCGCCAATCTGGACAGCTTCAAAAGAGGATTGGACAAGGCAGGGAGCAGAAGGCTACAGCAAAGGCAGTGGGGCATATAGCTATCCCTACCCCAATTGCTGGGGAACATGGGCTGGAGGGAGCTGTACATTTGTGGCCTGGTTGTGGCCTCTCCACAGGTAGTTGGCTGGACCAGACAAGCCCTGGTCTGGTCCAGCTGGGCTTTTGTTATGTCACTGTGCTGGAGCGGCTGACAGATGAAAGCGAGGGTGGGAAGAGAGTCGACCCTGCGGTAGAGGAACAGGACTTTCTTTCAGAAGGAAATGGGAAGACATTGAGGAGGAATCGGGAGGCGGCAAAGGGGGAAGGTTAGGAGATGCTCAGCCTGTGATAGGAGCGCATCAGAAGATTACGGGCACCCGGGAAAAGAGATCTGTTCGTGGTAGCCAGTGGGGCAGAGTGAAGCAGCCAATTCAGGGTAGCAAAACCAAACATGTACCATTTCTTCCAATGACTGTATTTTCCCCCCAGGGAAGGGCCCATGTGGATTTTCTCCATGTCCTTGTTCAGCCATGGACACTCTGGACCTTGACTTGCAGAGAAGGCAGGGTTTGCTGTCCTGCATCAGGAAGCAGGTCTTGGGCTGGTCTTGGCAAAGTAGCTCAGGACAGGAAGGGACAAAGGAACGGAGAGCAGATCCAGGGAATGGAAGGCCTGCGGGTCAACTGCAGGGGGAGAGAACAAGCCCTGATTCTGAGGGATCAGCAACCAGGTAAGGGAAACTGACACTGTGGGAGAGGAGCAATGGTTGCTGGGATGACTCTGACACTCTTTATGGAAAAATGTGATTATTCCAAGAACGCCTAAACTGAAACCATTAAAATTTAAAGGTCTTTCTGATCAGTCTTTACATGTAGGATGCGCATAGCTGAAGATCTGGGCTGCCTGTGGAGAGTTTTACAAGTCCCCTGCAGAAGCTAAGAGTCATAACTGTCATGGTTCATTTCTCTGTTGAATGGGAATAGATAGAATGGACAGGCATCAAGCGAAATATTTGCATCCTTTCCTGTTTCACACATAGTTTAGTGGTAGCACTCTTGACAGCAGGCCTGGTTCTTCTCTTTCTGTACACTGTAATGCTGTCAGCTCTGGCTTACACATAGAAACTTGAAGTTGTTGCCAGTGGAGCTATTAATATAACTGTACAGCTGTTCATCGGAATGTAGTTTTCATTAAGGGAAGCGTTGGGTATTGGTCTGTAATCTTCCTCTGGGAGGGTCTTTTCTGAAAGCCATTGATGAATTACTTGAACATCAAACAGCCTAAGTGATTTCCATAATTTCTGTGTGAAGGACAGTCTTGCTGTTTTAATGATCAAGTACATTTACTTTCTCTCAATGATTCAGCAGGGTTTTCACAGAGCCACAGAGGCACTGGAAATAGTGCCCTCCAAATATTTCAGATGACAACTCCTGCTCTTCCTGAACATTGACTATGCTAATGCAGTCTGATGCAAGTCCAAGTCCCAAGCAATAGGGAGCTGCCAGGCCAGGGGAGGCTGCTCTATGAATGGAATCAAGGTTGCCAACGTTTTTCTAGCGTATGACTGCTGTGCCATTAACAAGTGGAAATCCAATGGGGAAACTTTGCCTCATTTCTCAAAAAGAAAAGATTCTACTGCTGATGAAAAGGGGGGAAAGTTATACAACTGTAAAAACAAAAACCCTTAGAATACCACAAGGAAAAAATGGACTCTGTAGATATTGTGGGCCTTGTATAACTTTTATTTTTGTAAAATCAGAAAGTTGGTGTAATAATTTGACCATGACATGAATGTATTTAATAGGTTTGGACTCTGACTTTCTAACAAAATTAGCACTCAAGGTGGCTTACCTTCAGTGATAAAACTTGATAAAAATAATAAGCAAATGCATTAGAAACAATTAAAATCATGACAATAGAGTAAAAACAACATGCAGTTCAACTCTTGCTGTACACCAAAGGCCTGCTTGAAAAAGGCCTGCTTGCGTCAGAAGGACAAAAAAGAAGAAGCAAACCTAGCCTTCCCTGGCAAGGAATTCCAGGGCCAAGGAGGGTCCACTAAGGAGATCTTTTTTCATGCTGTCTTGAATATGGCAGTCTCAAATGAAGAGTCTTTCCCAAACACCTTAAGAACTAGGCAGCTTCTTAGGGGAGAAGGTGGCCTTTTAGATCATCTGCTCCCAAACCATTTACTGTTTTATGTATTGTGATTGTCGAATTCTGCCCTGAGTCAGACCAGCAGCCAGGGAAATTGCTGGCTGCAACATTCTGGAATAGCTGAACTTTTGGAACAGCTCTTGAACAGCCCCAGTCAGAGCACGTCAGAGCAGTACAGATTGGATAAAATGAAGGCGTGTATGACCATTGTCATATCAAACACCTCTGTCTTACTGCCCCAACTGCATTTGGTGTCTGGTTTTCAAGACAACATGGTTTGCATCATCTGGGGTCTAGACTTTGCTTGTCAATGTTACCTAACATTAACTTGCTTCTGCTGGAAAGAACCCCTGTTGCCTTCTTGTTGTATCTGGACATCTGAGTTACTATCACAGTCAGCTGACAGTCAGCTGACCATGAACAGAGGTCTTTCTTTCCTGCATGACTGTGCGTCCACTGGACAGACACTTCCATGGACGCTAGAGAGGGGAAAGAGACTACATTGTCTAAAACTGGCTCCAGGAAGTCCCCTGGCTCTATAAATACTTCCAGGTCAGGCCTGGCTATTTTCTTTCAGTACAACTCACCTGCTTCCTAGCTTATCTTCCCAGTTACTTCAGTTCAGTATAACTTACTTCTAGGCAGCTTAGTTGGGTATATTAGCTATGAGTCTGGAGGGGCAGGGAACCTCATTTTCAGGGGCCAAATCCAGCCCACCTGGCCTCCAAGGATTACCAATGGCTATGCTCTCTTCCCCTGGCCCCATCCCCTTAACCCCAACTCACTGATCAGTTTCCCAGCTCTTGTGCAGCATCTCTCCACCCTATTCCATACGATTGAAATACTTTAAATGTTTAATTAAGAATAAAGGCTTTACGCTAAAACATGCAGCCCCACCCCTTTTATCTTTGGCCCCACCTCCCACTGGAGCTTCTCTGAAATTGAATTTGGGCCATGGACAGGAAGAGGTTCCCCACTCCCATTATAATTTGATGCATAACCTTGTTCCCAGTTTACTTTAGTGAATGACACTTACCCATCCTGTTACTGGATGCTCCTAACATATTGCTACTGGAGCTCCCTTTCATTGCTGGTTCCTGAAGCTGGTGCTGTTCGGTCCACTTAGGATCTGAGATCTCTCTAGCATGGTCATAGTTGGCAGTGGCAGATAAAGAAAAATGAGTTTGTAGAGATGGTTGGCAAAGTGTAGGAGCTAATAATGCAGTGGAGTTCCAGGTTACCATATTTTTCGCTCTATAAGACACACTTTTCCCCCCCTCAAAAGTAAGGGGAAATGTCTGTGTGTCTTATAGAGCGAATTGTGTGTGCCCGACGCCTGGGATGCTGCCGGCCGCCTGCACCACATGGCACCACCTGGCCAGCAAGCGCTTGACGCGCCCTGCTCTGGGCCGCCCCCCCCCGGCGCAGGTGAGAGCTGTGCCGCTCAGGGGAAGGCGTGCGGAGGAGGAGGAGCTGCGGGCTTTAACCTGCTGGCC